CAGCGTACCGTTGTATGTCAGGACCTGAGTGCAGCCGCTCCTAGCTCCGGACTTGATTAATAAAATACCCTGTAACCTACTTTCAAGTCAATTCAGAAGTTTGGCCATTTCTAATTCAAATTCTAGCAGGCGCCTTTGCCCTTCCGCCTTGAACCGCGATAGTAACTGCCTTTACCTAAGCGCACCTAAGTTCCGTATGACGGATGAACAACGGGAAATAGAGCTACATCCAATCTCATGGCTAACATGTGGAGCAGAACATGCAGTATCAGCAACATAAAAATCCCTAGTCAGTTACTTACCGGGATTGTTCACTTTAAAAGGATGAGCCAACGTGGACACTTGCAACGAAAGTTGTTGGGTCTTGAACCCCGAACTTCCAAACTGCACTCCAAAGCGAGGAAGCGTTGTAGAGTACTTGGGCTCCAGGGATAATTGTTGATCACTACACCCAATTTTTCACTCGAATGCAAGAACGAATGTGGACTATTAAAAGCAGCAAGTATTTGCTAGCCTAGAGCTAACGCGGTCCCCCAATGAAATCGGTAGGGATAGCTGACCAATCCAAAGATTCATCAGTGTTCCTTTGAATTCGTCACACACAAGCCTTTCGATGATCGGCCATTGTGGCCTCTCATGAGCGGTCTAATATTCAAAATCAGCAGCATTCACATAGACGTTTGAAGACAAATCGAGGTCACTAGAAGTACGAGTGGCACTCAGGTCGGGCCGCAGCACCATCGATATGGTGTTCGCGGCTTGTCAACTGCAGAAGAAATGTAGAAAGCGATATCAGTCATTGTAATCGCTGTTTATAGGCCTTAAAAAAGCATTCGATACGATGAACCGCGAGGTATTGTGGCTGATGTTAGGTAAGTTGGGTTGTCTTGTAAGTTCGGAAGCTGAACTGAATGTCTGCACCGTGGTATGCGGTCGAGAGTGCAGCTGAGTGGACAAATCTCGGGTGGCTGCTGTTGTCTCTGGTGTGAAGCAAGGATTTGTTCTAGCTCTTGCTCTGTTTAACGATTACGTAGATGTTATGATGTCTTGTGCTTTCGACGCTGCTTGTGATTACAGTGTTCATGTGGAGCGCCGTATTGATGTTGGATTGCTGTACATCTGTCGTTTCGGAGCGAGAGACTTAATGTGCGAGACAAGCATCCGTGTGTTGCTGATTGTTGACGACTGTGCACCGTTTGCACACAGCGAAGATGAGTTGCAGCACATGACTTCGGCTCTCGCTTCGATATTGCCCAAGGTTGGACTCATCAGCAAGCAAGACTGTTTGTCTTTGCAACCGTCACCAGCAGTGAAATCCGTGGGCTTATCGCAAAACAAGATTGCTGATGAAGTTTTGGAAATTTCGTCGAGATTTCGTTAGCTTGGGAGGGTGCAGTCAACTGATCTACAGGTGACGAGCGAGTTGAGCATCCGTGTATCAGAGGCGGCTGTTACACTTGGAAAGCTGGAACATCGGTTGTGGAAGTATTAACATCTGACTGTTGGAACGAAGTTAACGGTATACAAGTCGATGATGCTGTTAGTGACTATCTACGGCGGCGAAACATAATCTATACATGAAGCACATCCGATTCCATACACCCGTTAATGTGACCGAGTTTCAACAAGAAAGGCTCTGCCGGTGGACTGCATACTTCTGACGCGACACCTGAGATGGCTCGGACATGAATAGCGCATAGATTCGAGCAAGATATTGAAGTGTCTACTGAATAACCAACTGTATACAGGAAAGCGTCCTGTGGCTGTCCTATGGAGGCCACAGTGACAGGCAAATCCGGAATCCGATGTCGCCAACCATACAGGGAAGCAGAATGTGGGAATACTGAAGTTGTGCTACCAAGGTGAGTTGATCACAAACTAACGTTAACTTCAAGTGTTGGTAAGCAATGATAGTGGGATCCAATCAAGCAGACGGGTCTCAGTGCTGTCTCACAGTGCAACTCTAACATCAGACTGGCCAGAAGAGGCAGTCTATGGGTCCCCGGAAGGACGCAAGTGGTATGTGACGTCAGGGTGTGCCGGAGAGACCATTCCGATGATGTTGCTGAAGTATCTCAATCTGCTTTGTGAAAGACAACAGATGTATACCGAGAGTCTTGAAAATACGGGCAGACACACGTATCGTACGATTTGCAACACAACACGAAGATAGGCGACGCCGTGAAGCTGACTGGAGAACTAATTCGAAAAAGCTGGGGTTTCTGTGTAGTGTGTGACGGCTACGACTGCTGGCTATCCAACACCAGGAGTTTGACCGTTACACTCATCAGGTGCAACCAGTGAGCCGGAAAGACATAAGAGTATGTGTAGTTGAAGAACGGGATGTGGGACGATCTGCGGGTGGAGGTTACATGCTGGAGTCAGTAGCGCCAAGAGTCACAGCAAGAGCGAAGGGGACAGTATAGTCCATGATTAGCCACTGGACGCGATATTACGCAGTTGCTCAGGCTAAAGTAGTGCGATATTTTAAGAGCCTTACCACGAGCCTTTGATCGGGGATCTAATCTAAAATGCAGTAGAGTGATGTGAAGAGGTGGCAACTCATTGGGAGCTGATGACTGAATAAATAGTTCATGCTCCTTTCACTCCGTAAAAGACCAGAGGCCCAACACGCCATTTGATTACAATGCCGCTTTCAAAAAGTAAAGAACAATGGGTGCAGTTTGCGGGGAATCACAACCGCCACGACATAGTATAGTCCCCGATTAGTGGGAAATTTTATAGAGACACCTGCCAGGTGAAAACCTATTATATTATCGAATATTGTTGCTGCTGCTTATCCAACAGGCCGAGACCTGATAATCCCGCAGTTAACCGTCAAAGGCGATCGCCCTATTGTCCAAAACCTGAAGACGCGATCGCTAGCGCACAGTTTTATCCCTTCATGGATCAGCAGTGATCGTTTCTGAAGTCCGTTAGTTACTTCCAGTACATGCTCCCGGAGTTGACGAAGACGGCGTCGCATGCTCGGTAGTTCGGCCAGTGCAAAGTTAATACATGTGCAAAGAGAGAGGATGGATGCACTGAATCACCCTCGTATACAGTGCCCACATCGGTACTCGGAAACAGTGGGTGAGGTTACTGTTTAAATGGCAAGACTGCACAAAACAATATGAGCTGGAGAAAGACAATTGGATCGCTTGCATTTACACTTGCATCATAAACAACTGGGATGTGACTACCGAGATCAGTTCACATATTGTGACAGAAACGCCCATCGGAAGTAAGCAGAAGAGTATGCCAGTCGGTTTCAAGGAGCTCGTAAAAGGGACCGCAGCGAGGGCTGTTCTTCTCTACGGTAGTGAGACCTGGCTCTTTCGTCTGGGGATCGATCTACCTGTCGCTTATGTCGAACGATACCAGAGTGGCATCACCACCGCCGCCACCAACAACTTAAATCCCAATAACTTGCGTTGCTGCGGACATGAGTCACAAACACCCACCCACTTATTGAGGAATACTTTGTATGGATGCAAGATCTGAAATGGGGTGAAGTTCGAGATGCATGGAAGTAAACTCGCGTTAGCCAGCTGGTTGTGCACTGTTGGTCCACCTCACTTAGTAGGCCGTGACACCTGCTACAGAACCACGGTGCATAACTCGAGACGGTACGAGATGCTCTACGCATCGAGGAGCATCAGCTCGAGCAACGGCAAATGAATTCAATGCTGAGTACACTGGGGGCTGTTGATCTGTTGCCATGCACCGTGTGCATAACTTGGGACGTTACAGAACATAACCACTGGTCAGTGCCAGCTGTGTAGTTGTCTTCATTTCCTAGTTGGTCCACTCGTTTAAAGCATGCACAATGCTGAGCACTCAGTGAGATGCGGATGGGTATGCCAAGAACGAGTGAAGAGATGGTCACTTCGATATCTCACCTCAACACCACACGACAATCGACTGTCTGTGACCTTATGGTGTTGGCAAGATGCATGCGTATTGATTTTGAATGCTCACGTAAGGTGGTTAGATTTCGCACTAGTCCACTTTCTCCCGCTCAAGTAGCCCCTGAAACAGAGAAATTACGATTGTATGGCCCATTAGTGAAAAATACTGGTGTACAGCAGTAGGCAAAGTAATGACCACAGAACACACAACGCACACCCTTTAAGGCAAGCAGTTGGAAGGCAATCATTCATTGAGAGCTATACACTACGAAATGCGAAAGGCATCAGCAGTATGCCGGTACGCGGTACCGAGGATTCTCTGTGGTGTATTTACCACCGGTCACAGGTGGTAGATAAGGATATGGCGAGGGTCGTCCGATCCCTATGAAGGCTCAAAGTCGTGCTATCGGATTACAAAACAGGCTTGTAACCCTTAAGGTTACGGGCCAATACGAAGTGTGAAAAGATGGTTGCTTTAAATGCTAAGGTGTGCGAAGTCCAAAGGCATTTTGATTTCATGCATCAGATGGATTATTCCCTCTCGATGACTCCGTGGTCCTATTCCCACTTCCATCCACTTTGCGAACTGATAACACGCTTCTCGCGCGTTAGATCGCTACACGGTCAAATGTGTATCGTTTTACACTTTGCTCAAGGTCACGCGTCTATAAGTCTATTAGTAACATTAATGTTACGGGTGCCTGTTTCCGCCCGCCGACCTCGCGTTGTAAACCTAGTCATGAATCCTGTGTTGCACATTATTCTGCCCTTGAAAAGCATGGCTACAGGATAAAATTACAAATGGTTCTGTCCCAGCCAATTTCTGCCAAGGTTTATAGCTCAGAGCAGCAATATTTATATACAATTCGTGCGACGTAATTCGATCTAGCATAGTTATGTCGTTACAAAATGTACGAAGGGTTTAGTGTGCCCTATGCATGAGGCAGATGGAATGATCTTCAGAGAAAAGGAACCCAGTGAGAGACGATCGAGTAGCCTACGGGGGGTGGAACACTGTAAAAGGAGGGAACAGTTTGAGCAGTGCTTGGCCGAGTAAATCATTATGCAGCCGGAAAAACGTTTTGTGCCTCAACCCAAATGAGAGAATGCACCGTTCACCTTCATTGTGCCCATAAGTCGGGGAAATGTGTAGGAGGAGCACCCTTCTGGCGATTGACCCAAAGCGACGAACGGAGTGTGGAAGGTTGCCTGAGCGAAGAGAGAACCAGAGAGAGAATGGCAGAGCGTAGATCAGACGACCAGATAAATTAACGGCGCACAAGGCGAATGATGCAATGAAAACAGTCTCCGGAATACACAGATTTAGCAGAGGCATAGGGAGTTACAATGGTGTCAAGCTTAGGATAAATGAGTTCTCTGGGCGTGGAGTAGTGTTTGAAGGGGGGTGGGATGGAATAACCAGTAGAGGGGCCAACGTAACTAGCAAATAATGCTTCTGATCAGATCTAGGGGGCAAGCACTATGTCACGGAATGTGCGAACTATGAATTTCAGAGATCGGATTGGGTAGCGGTGAGTAAAATGTAATAATATCACCATGGTGTCGAGTAAAAAGATACCAGATCCCTTTTAGTAAGCGCATAACGTCACGTAATTCGCAGCAAAGGATAAGCTTGTACCACTTAACAGGCTTGTTATCTGTGTTATGGTTCAATATGTGCATATCTAAGAGAACACAAGTTTGCGTGTTGGAGCAATATATTGCTCCTGTACAGTAAACGCAGTTCAGTAGGTTTATTGCGACACTGCCGCTTGCCGAATCACCTGAGTCGACGTGGGAAGTAGATGACATACCTCTCACTGTGGAAGAGATTTGGGGTGAGCTTAACGTGTTGAGACGAAACAAAGCTCATGGACTCGACGACCTTTTCATCTTTGCTGAAAGTTGGTGTTGACTGAACTCACGGCTCTATTCAAAACGATTCGAGATACTGACTAAGTGCCTTCAGAATGGCGATTTTCAACTGCCGTGCTTGAAATCAGGAAGACTCAACGTACTTTTTGCGAAAATCATTGAGACATTAGCTTAGTTTCCATTGCATCCAAACTCCTCACGGGTATGATTGTCCGACGACTTACTGGGCTCCGTAAAAACCAAATCACTGAAATCCAGGCTGGTTTCCGTCCTGGTCGTGGTTCCATCGACTACATATTTACTCATCGCCAAGCGTTAGAGCACAGACACACATACAGAGGACCGACAATGGTAATTTTCCTTGACATGAAAGTTGCCTTCGAATCTACTGACCACGCCATCACGCGGCACTGTCTTTCCATGAAGGGCGTGCCCACGAAACTCCTTTCAATTCAGGTCTCTCTACCGTGTTTCCCAAGGCCGTGTACGGGTTAACGAGAAACTCTCCGGAGTACCCACGGCAAGCGAGGTTCACCAGGGTTGTACTATATCTCCTTTCCTCTTCAAATTTGTTATCAAAATGATTGTGAGTGACTCCATTCTTTCAAACTCTACCGGAGTAGAAGTTCTGCCCCGTGACCGACCGACGAACCTTGAGTATGCGGACGAGATAGCTCTTCTTAGATCTGACGCAGTGGCTATGCAAACATTGGTTGATAGACCGACGCGTAGCGCAGCACGCTTCAGCATGCGTTTTGCACTTTCAAGGTGCAAAGTACTGCTGCAGGACTGGACCGACAAACCTCCAGGTTTACCTATTACCAAACAGCCACTGACAGTATTGGATCGGTTCATTTACCTTGGCAGCTGTGTCACCTATGGTGGTCACAACAATGTGGAAGTTACTTCGTGTAGCAGTAAATCCCGTGTGCCTTTCCAGAGACTTAAGCATCTATGTAGACGGTAGGAGATCAGTCTGCCAGTGAAAGTTGGGGTGTATAACTCAGCGGGCTCACTGTGTGGATCAGAGACCTGGTCAGTTCGCGGTGAAGACAAAACGCTTGACCGCGTTTGTCCACCGGTGCTTGCAGAGTGTTCCTATCAAAGGTAGGAGCACTGAGCAATGCTGAAGTCCACCAGTTGGTTTTAAGCAAAAAGCACTCTGGTGCCTCACTCAAGTGTTTCCTAAATCATCATCATCATCAGCATCATCAGCATCATCAGCATCATCAGCATCATCAGCATCATCAGCATCATCAGCATCATCAGCATCATCAGCATCATCAGCATCATCAGCATCATCAGCATCATCAGCATCATCAGCATCATCAGCATCATCAGCATCATCAGCATCATCAGCATCATCAGCATCATCAGCATCATCAGCATCATCAGCATCATCAGCATCATCAGCATCATCAGCATCATCAGCATCATCAGCATCATCAGCATCATCAGCATCATCAGCATCATCAGCATCATCAGCATCATCAGCATCATCAGCATCATCAGCATCATCAGCATCATCAGCATCATCAGCATCATCATCATCATCATCATCATCATCATCATCATCATCATCATCATCATCATCATCATCATCATCATCATCATCATCATCATCATCATCATCATCATCATCATCATCATCATCATCATCATCATCATCATCATCATCATCATCATCATCATCATCATCATCATCATCATCATCATCATCATCATCATCATCATCATCATCATCATCATCATCATCATCATCATCATCATCATCATCATCATCATCATCATCATCATCATCATCATCATCATCATCATCATCATCATCATCATCATCATCATCATCATCATCATCATCATCATCATCATCATCATCATCATCATCATCATCATCATCATCATCATCATCATCATCATCATCATCATCATCATCATCATCATCATCATCATCATCATCATCATCATCATCATCATCATCATCATCATCATCATCATCATCATCATCATCATCATCATCATCATCATCATCATCATCATCATCATCATCATCATCATCATCATCATCATCATCATCATCATCATCATCATCATCATCATCATCATCATCATCATCATCATCATCATCATCATCATCATCATCATCATCATCATCATCATCATCATCATCATCATCATCATCATCATCATCATCATCATCATCATCATCATCATCATCATCATCATCATCATCATCATCATCATCATCATCATCATCATCATCATCATCATCATCATCATCATCATCATCATCATCATCATCATCATCATCATCATCATCATCATCATCATCATCATCATCATCATCATCATCATCATCATCATCATCATCATTATACATGTCAGCTAGAGGTGGTAAAACACCTCTGCTATTGTACCGCAATACATAAAGGAAATACATACATACATGCAATACATAAAGGAAAAATAAATACGACAGTTGCATGCCAGCTGAGCTACCAGCAACGGATAGGCATCGTTCCGGTAAGCTACCAGCCGGCTACTAGGCAAAAACAAACAATTTAATTATGTTTTACCCTACGAAATAAGATCGTAGATGGAGGGGGAGGCTAAAGGGATGGGGAGGGACAAAGAAACTCATAGCAGGAACGCCACTGAGGTCGGCTCCTTGCCATGTCAGCAAGTGTATCCAGCCAAACGTGTTCACCGTCTTTTGGACCCCAACCAGGGAGCCGGGAAGCTCCAACCAAGGCTAGCTCCGAAGTGAGGGATTTCATTCCTCCCGACCAAGTCATCGTTTGACCACCTCTCCTCTTCTTCCACCCACATCCCCGGTGTGTAAACAACGCACGTCGAGGGAGTCGGTGGGCTGGCATGCGCAACACGTGGCCCAGCCATCGGAGCCTGGTGCATGAAATAACGGTGGTGAGCGGTTCATTCCCTTTTCTTAGGCCGTAAACAAGGTGTCGAACACGCTCGTTACTCACGCGGTGTTCCCACCAGATGTGAGCCAAACTGCGAAGGTACCGATGGTCGAACGTAAGTAGCCTCTTCATGTCCGCCGATCTTAGGGGCCAGGTTTCGCAACCGTACGGTAAGGTCGAACGTACCGCTGCATTGTACACTCTACCCTTCAGGGCGAGAGTAATGTCGCGCCGTCGCCATAGGTGGCTAAGGTTAGCAAAAGCACTTCGAGCTTTCGCTATACGGTTCGTGATCTTGTCTTCGATCCCAAGGGCGCTGATACAACTTCCCAGGTAATTGAACTTCTGAACGACTTCTAGCTGATTCCCACCAAGGGTCAGCACAGGGGGCGATCCCTGCCAATCCTGGAGGAACACTTTGCACTTCGGTGGTGCAAAGCAAAGCCCGCAGCGACTGACAGCCAGTGCTAATCTGTCCAGCGCGGCTTGGCACGTCTGGGAGCTGTCACAGATGAGGGCAACCTAAATCATAGTCGTTTACGTTGTTTAGGTCGTGTTCTCCGTAGGCCTGTTTACCGACTTCCTCGGCGTGCATTATACGCCATGGCCGCACCGTTGGGCGAAACCGCGAGGTGGCCAGTCCATGACGTGGCAAAGTGGCATGCAGAAACTGAGTGAGAGAATTGGTCAGGCGGGCGTGCCGTCTTCGTGGATGGCGGCCTCGGGATAGTCAACACCAATGGTTGGAGACCGTATCAGACAGCGCAGTCAATGGCGTTTCTGCAATCGGTTCTTTGCATCCGGTGATTAATTTTCGTTCCTTCCTGATTAGTTTGACCTACTTTCTTTTTGCCTCCATTTTCTTTACATTCGATGTGCATTCAACCCCACTATCTTGCCATTGGTAGTTATTGTTATTCTTGCGATGTGAGTCGTGGCAACTGGATCCACCGCACTACATTGCTCGGATCATAGTCGATCAACTGGACTGAATTTACTGACCTGTGGTATAGTAAAACACGCTTTACAGATAACTCAGCACCAGATATGTGCACAAAAAAACGCCACTGGTGCCGACCGTGAGACAAGTCATGTAGTGGTTGGAATCAAGGGAAAGACAACAGAAGAAGGCGCCACGGATCAACAGAAGCCGTTTTAGTGATCAGCATTTTCATTTTTCGCTGCTAAGTCAATGCGTATCCTCCCCGAGACTTAGGCCCTCCAAGATCCAGAGGCAGACCTGAGGCCCAGATCAGAGATGATTCACTGCGGATAATGAGTTACCACCCTAAAAGAAAACCGAAGTCCTAGTGTTGATGACAGGGTTCTAATGATCTATAACCGGCCATGTGTTGAAAGTGAAGAGGCTACGGAAAATCGGACTGGAAACAGTAGTTGCTACGAAGTCATTTGACAGCAACTCCATCTCTTACGACAATACAAGAGCCTCTGAGGTGGTGATCGGATAAGCAGAAAGACTTACCGTATCTGAGGCTAGGATGTAGTCGTAGAGACCCAAAGTTGTCACAGCGATACCAACCGCTGGACCGTTGATAAGGCCGATCAACGGCTTTGGGAAGTCAATGAAAGCGCTGACAAATCGGTGCAGTAGCGCTCGAGCATCTTTGGCCATTTCTGTGAGCGATCCACCATTAGCGATTGATTTAACAAACGTATTCAAATCATTGCCACTGGAAAAGTAGTCGCCTTTGCCTGAAGACAGAGAGAAATTAGAAAGCGAGAATGTATGAAAGTTCTGAAACCACATTGCCGGTGTCTCATTGCATAGTGCTCAAGCAGCAAAACGTTTGAGCGAGGACCGAGATGTAAGTAGCAATCAGAGGAAGAAAATGGATCCACTGAGTGGGTGTGCCATGGCGGAGATCATAACCCTTATGAATAGTGTTAAAAGAGTGGGGAATGTCACGCTAACAAAAGAAAAAAGGTAAAAGCAATACCTCACTACTGCGGAATGATGCATCGATACCATGCGGCCATAAGTGGCTGCATGCGGGTTAGGACTTTTATCTTCATGAGAAACACTAGAGACCAAATAGCAGATTCGGGGGACAGTTGTAAGTAACTGCTTAGACTATTAAACAGTAAGGTTTCAAACACGTCATAATGTCACGGTCAATGTTCTTACATGAACTTCATGTAGAGAAGTAGCGGATTGGAAATTCAGACGACGTATGTGGTGAACGCTTGTTGTCGCACAACTTATGAAATGCTAGTGGTAAGCTGAGATGGAGAAGGGGCGAGCGGTACATATGTCGCTCACCTAATAGGCAGAGCAGCATAAAGTTTACAAACCTCGTTGACTAGTATGGTGGAAGTTTTCATAAGCAAGAGGAAACAAGTGGGTCGGGCTATATAGCAGTTAGATCTAAATCCTTGATGGTCAGTTGTCGTCCCCCAAGGCTCAGTGACATAAGCTGTTGGCTAGTGATGCAAGACACTCGCGGTCCCCTGAAGGGGACCGAGAGAACGTGCACTACTAAGAAGCCCCAAGAGGACGAAACAGCCCGCTGGTGCTTTTCCGGGTTGGTAGGCTACCTTTGAGGCTTGGGATCTAATTGCGATAGACCAAATCGTATCATATCCAAATCCGTCTGCTCATTAGAAATCAAAAACAAAGTTCTGCCAATCTTTAAAATGCTGTGTGGGTTCAAAGCACTGGCAAAGGAAGTCCTGACCCAGACGGCCAACCACTGTCCTTTGTGCAAGGGCAGTAACCTGCATGGCAGTGGAGGATGGATCGGGCAATATGGTAGTTAGATTCCAATACATGATGGTCAGCTATCGTCCTCCATGGCTTAATGGCGCAGGCTGCTGGCTAATGGTGCAAGACACTCGTGGGCATGGGTTCGATCCCCAGCAAGGGACCGAGGGAATGCGCACCATAGACGACCTCCAAGAGGATGGTTGGCCTATCTAGTTGCAACCTAGTTGCAATAAACTAAATGAAACATATGGCGAGATTCCTGGTAAGAAAGCAGCCGCTCAACTACTATTGGGTGTGTTGCCCGCACTGCACTACAAGGGCGGTTCTGTGCTTGTTTACCTTTAGCAGACAGGCAGACAGAGCAGCAGCAGCGGCGACTCAAACTCGAACTGCTATCCGAAGCCACCGAGCATCGGGCAAAGCTGGCAAGGAAAACGTGGGGATGTGGGTGGGGGGTTATTTTGGAATGGTTGTTGCCGCGTTGTTCCCATGGTGTGGTGGCGTACGAGTAAAATCTTAGACTGGTAATTCCAACGTCCCGCGTCCGAATCGCGAGGCTGCGGTCGTATGGTGCACAGTGGCGAATGAGGGCTGCATCCACCCTATCTACCTGCTTCGGATACAGTCCCAGTGACCGCATTGCCTGGAGTTCAGCCCAAAGAGAACTGTAATCCAAGTTGGAAGTGTGTGTGTGTGTGTGTGTGTTGAAATCCATCCTCACATAATGAGTGCTTTAGAATGACCGCCCACCAAGTAAGTCACCGCCTTTTTATACACGCTTCTGAAGCAATAGGCCAGTTCGCCAAATTGCTTTACAGCACAATGTGGCAGTGTCTTCGGGGATGGTGTTTTCCAGGGACCGCATAGACCAACCAAAAAGAAATGTAAGCGGTAACCCAGGCAGTTGTAGCGCTCCGCGACAAGTTGGCCTTATGGCTAAGCACCAGCAAAGAACTGCACTTATGATTTAGACTTCATGATCTGGTATAGTGGTGAGTAAGTCCGCCTGTGATGTGGAAGACCAAGGGTTCGCGATTCACGACCGGGCAACCAGACTTGCCCGGTGAAAATGTAAGCGACAAGTAGCTTGGAAGAGTCGAGTTGACGCGTTTCCACCGGAACCAACATGAACAAAGCCGGCACTGGAATACGGTACTACTGGCAAAAAATTAAAGACAACAAATGTACAACACCTCAATGGTCTGTGCTTCCGGCACATGCGTGTCAACAATGAAAAGTCAAAAATAGCCAAAAGTGTAGCTTCAAGACACACGTGGAAATAAACTCGTCTTAGTGCATTGTGGTTTAAAACGGGCTTATGCGGAGCCAATGGGAAAAAGGAGGCTCCCATGAGCCGTGGGTGTGAGAATCCGTACGTTACACATAGTGATGGCACCGCGTTTGAATTCTACATAAGGGGGAACAAAACAGTAGACCGCACGAAGCAAATGGTTTCAATACGTGACCTCTACTCACAGCAACAGTGCAATATTGCCAGCTCAAACATACAGTGCGAGGTAATGTGAGCACAAAAGATAGATATCAAGACATTCTATATCTTTTCTCAGCCAACAGAATCCATAGTGCTTTCAAACTGCTCCTTAAGGAAATCATGTTTCTCCGTAGATCCATAGGTTCATAGCGTTTTTCAAATGAATCCAACGGGCGCAAACACTTAAAAACTACGTGCTGTTCGTTGAGTAGCCAATCTCAAATATGCGGATGGTATAACAGATGAGCACACAGAGTGCGATGGCATTGTCAACGCAGAATTTAGGGGGTGTTCGTGCCCATTGGATTCAACTTGTAAGCGTTATGGACCATCTTGAAAGATCTATGGAGAAACATGATTTCCATAAGGAGGAATGTGAAAGCGTTATGGATTCAATTAGCTGAGAAAAGGAATACAGTGCACCGATAATCATCATTATTATACACGTCAGCCAGAGGGTGGGAAACACCTCAGCTACTGTGCCGCAATACATGGAAGAAAAAAAGGAGAAAAATGATGCAACTAGTGCAAGCCGGCTGAGCTACCGGTAACGGATGAGCATCGTTCCGATAAGCTATCAGCCGGCTACTGTAGTGCACCGATAAGACATTGGGTGTTATTATGTGAAACGATAGTGGAGCATGTTCTGAAGTTATAAAAGCGTGACGAATGTAGGTCGTCCACATTTGCAAAGAGCAAAAGAAACACGTAAGTAATCTAATTTATTGAGTCGGAGAAACAACAGGTTTTGGGACAAGGAAAAGTTGGGTAGATGGCAGAGGGAATAATAAAATGTGAAAAATGTCAGCTGTACGCCGTAGCGGCATATCGCTGCCATGCGACCACCACGTTGCGGCGGGCTGATTATACCGAGAGGACACCCGCCTCATACGCGGATTCGGACCGGTGACCTCATAATTTCAAGCCAGGCGTGCAGACCACTTGGTTGGAATCACAGGATAGGGCGTTCGGGATTCTTCTACACCAACAGTAGATCGATTCGTAATCGGCGAGACTGTTTGCTGAATACTACAAAGGGTTGCAAACCATGCTCGTAAGTCTCATCGTGCATTCCAATTAGTTGGTGGTCTAAAGTTGGGGAAGACCCACAGCAGTGATATGGGATTGCAATCACAGTTAACAAGCTTGAATTACACACGCATTCAAAAAGGTGGTTAATACTTTTGTTTATCCGGGCACCTCAAGTAATCAAACATACCTGATGGCCGATGGGATGTTCAATCTTAACTACTCCAGATAGAAGATAACCTGGTATTGGGTGCTTGGAATACCCAGTGAGTATGTGTATTACAGCAAAATCTCAGTTCAGGTCGAGTATCAAGTAGACAAGGTTGCAAACCACCAAATGTACCGCCCTTCCTATGAATCCTAGGTAAAGATGGCCAAACTAAGAATATAACCTAGGAACTGCACAGATTGTCGGCAGAAGTCTTCGTCATTATATCACTGAGCGCCAAACCTAATGTGACACAGCCGCTCACGACAATGCACTCCGTGACTGCTTGTCTCTGGTTTGATTTTTCTAGCGGAAACAAACGGATTCGGGTTCGAACTTTTGGAGTGAAGAAGCTATCGGTAGACCCATGATCACACTGAGCCATGCTGATTCCAACGGTTGTTGACTTTGAGACCTCCGTTATGCGGGTGGATTGTGACGCGCAACCTCAATATAAACTGTGAATTATTTTGAAACAAACGTCAGTGAATTCGAGCAAAGAAACCGCATCCGAAGCATACAAAGAATAGATACCGCTCGTTTTAAACAATGCGCACCACGCAATCCGTTCCGTCTTTCGTTAAGAGAATAGGAGCCGCAACCAGGATGCCTGATCCAAAATGAGATTAGCGGACGAAACAAGCCACCACATGACTGTCGCTTAGTACAGTTGCCTAAGCCACGAGCATGAAAGCAGAGATAATTCGGCAGGATCAACGAATCACGTGATATAAGACACCTTGCTGCTGTTAGCCGTTTATGTGGCGTAACAGAGCTGGTCACGTGTGAGAACAATTCAACAAATGTTCACCATCAAACGTTAATTCAGTGAGACCAAATCAGGTGATACGAAGCTGCTGTGTGATCGCTAGTATCACCAGGATACTCCAACTGGCACAACGCAACAAGTGATTCGGATTCATGTCTATGCACAAACTAGCGTGAGGTCAGCTCCAGATAGCACAGGCCCGATGAAGCAAGACATATGCAGCAACTGATCACAATGCCTGTGGTTGCAGCAGCACAAGCATTTATCAGAAAAGTTGGGATAGAGAAGTCAAGAGTATCCGACCGAGCAACATGGTGGTACACTGTCAGGCATAGGCGTAAATTCGATTACAGTGCATCCGTGTCCGGAATTGGTAGATTGTTACTGGACAACTATACACGGTTTGTTCGAAAATGATGTCAATGAGTCGATTAAAAACAGTTATGGAGCGATCGGTACGACACATTAAAAGGTTTCCAAAAAGGCTCCACCTGCGTCCATACACCGCTTCCAGTAGGAGTTCCAGGCGTCGAAGGCAAAAGAGTAGGCTTTCTATGGAAGGTCCTTTAGAGCCTTGGTACAAGCGACCATGCTCTGTCAGTTGTCTCGAAATGATGTCCTTTCATGGGATTTTGCAAGCAGCAGAAAAAGAAGTCTGAGGGAGACAAGGCAGGACTGTAGGGCGGCTGGGGAACCATTTGCACCTTTGAATCCGCCAGGAAGCGTGTCACTAGGAAGGCGGTGTGCGCTGGCGCGTTCACACCTCGGGCACTCTGTTGTCGTCTGCGGAGAAGACATTAAACGGTTGGCCGTGTTTGACCACCGGTGCTTGCGGAGTATTGCTAAGTCTCATAGGAACGTCGAGTGAACAATGCTGAGGTCCACCAGTTCGTTTTAGGTAAAAAGCCTTCTAGGGCTTCACTCATGTTCACTGAATCTTAATCGCTTACGTTGGTTAGACCACGTATCTCCGTTGAACAGTTTCCTCGGCGTACATTATAAGCCGTGGCTGCACGAAGTTGGGCGAAACCGCGAGGTTGTCAGTCTATAACGTGGCATGCAGAAATTGACTGAGATTTGGTCAGGCTATTGCGTGCCGTCTTCGTGGGTGGGGGCCTCGATATGGTCCAAGCCAATGGTTGGAGACCGTAACAGACGTGGCGCAGCCACGCAAGCAGTGACGTTCTCGCATTCGGTTTCTTTGATCTGGTTGTTATTTATCGTTCCATGATGATTAGTCAAACGCACTTCCTTCATGCTTCCGATTTCTTTACGTTCTATCTGCCTTTAGCCCCACTGCATTGCCGCTGTTATTTATTGTTGTGCTTTGAGTCGTGGCAACTGGATCCACCACACTCTGGTGCTCGGATAATAGTCTATCAACGGAAATTGAACTGAACTATTTACTGTCTGTGTCACCGAACGAACACAGTTCAGTTACACTCATCACATTTTCGTCGGTGGTTGCTGTTCATGATCTTTCAGCGCTGACCTTTAAACGGCCTTCAGAAAGATTTGTGCAGCGGTAGGTTTGACGTTCCCATAAATAATCACAAAAGACAGTCTTCGTCATGGGGAAAGTTTCCACTGCAGACTAATCGAGTTACACACGAAACTCGATGTCAATCTTTTGCTCTATCGAGCGGTGCATCGCGATTTGCTCGGGACGCGAAAAAGAGTTTCACGAAAATACCAGTCCTTATTCTGCAAATGGTCGCATAAGGCTGTGCGATTGTGTGTGTGAGAAAACTGACTCTTTTCTCCACTGATCCCAACCAACCTGAGAGCACGTTGCGACGTACATTCACTGACATTACTTTTCATACAAACTTTGTAATTGCCTTGAGAATGAGGAAGAATAATAAGGGTGAAGGGGGTCTAATACAGAAACTGAACAACATATGCAAACATCCAGGGTCGAAGCGTTGGCATGTTGTGGACAACATGCGATCACAAAGTTTGATGCCTGGTAGCATAATTGACATAATTCAAAACAAAGCGTAGTCTGACAATGGGGTGGGGCCAGTTAGTACATTGTTCGCGGCTACGCACAGAGCAAGGCATGGGGTATGGTTCTAGTTGACCCGAAAGAAGGGGGAAGCATGCGTGACCAAAGCACTCAAGTTTGTAGCAGTCCAAAATCTCACGATATAAACCGCCAGAAAGTAGCACTCACCAGTCACGGAGACCAGTTTAACGCCGGGGTTTGTTGCTGCCTCATTCAACGTCTTAGTCCACTCAACGTACATCTGAGTGGAAATGAAGAAGGTAGATGTAGGCTGGACGTAAGCACAACGACTCATAACAATATAGGTGGCCAATGAGAGTAGCCAAATTGTCACACTGTAACAGAGGCATGAGGCATGAAATTGCAACACGGACGTGGTAGGATGAGACTATCGAGGCACATATCCTCGAGAAGAATGATGCCTCTGAGTCCTCTTCATGTGGGGTAGTTAGGGGCAAGCGAAATATCGAGAGGAATTTGACGCAAGTAGTGACTGCGAAGTGTTACGAAACCCAAGGCGAGAAAAGAATCCAAAGAGCATTGGTACGCAGGATGACAGAAGTGTATAGTAATAGATAAACACAGTAGGTAACAGAGTTCCTAGTACGGAAATAATCCCTCATTTCATGTTCGTCGATATGGCACTAGTCGCAGACGCGAAATCGCAGTCGGCGCATGATAGCATAGTCGATTTCACAGTGACCGATCAAATCGAGATCACTGCCATCTTAGCTCAGTTTAGCGTATCCATTGTGTATCGCGGATCCAGTTGTCTTGACACGTCATACAAATAAGACTAAATCAAGAAGGGAGGACAATAGATAAAACCTTCAAAGGTACAGAAAAGAAGGTAACGACGTCACTGACTTCGTGACCGAGTTATATCTTATAGGGTGGCTGAACACTAGGGTGCCGATACGCTGGGTTCCCCAGCATCCAGGTAGAGGACAAACACCGACCCAAAGCAATCCTTTGGCGTCATGTTCCCTTGTTACGTCAGTGCCTGTCCAGGCCATCAAACTAGACATCGTAAGCAGCACAGACTGAGGTTGCCGGCCAGAGTGAGTGTGGAAAACACGACTCAACTGACGTGGGCGGGTCGAACACAACAGGCGTATGAACAATAGTACTTACGTAGCAGTAGTCAAAGACAACCGGTCTCTGGATGCCATCAGCGTGCGATGGAAGGATCCATGATTTGTACGACGATACTGGACGCATCACAGAGTTGTAAAACTTTGCCTTAACCGATGTTGTCCGCAAACGGACGGATGGTATGGAAGGTAGCACGAGCATCATGAGTCCGTGTGGAAACCACTTCGACGATACGATCACTGGCAGCGATACTCAGGTAAGTAAACCGTTGGGTCGATTCAACGGATTGTGCGGTAATAGTGAAAAAGGTGATAGATCGAAGAGGTCTTGTGACAGTGTCGGCCGGTAACCGAGTAGTCTGCACACCTGGCTTGCAATCATAAGGTCACCGGTTCAAATCCGCGTAGGGGCGGGCATCCTCGCGGTATACAGCCCACGCGCGACTAGTGGTAGTCGCGCGACAGCGAAGCGCCGTTACGGCGTACAGCTGACACATATCATATTATTTATTGTGACAGTAGTTGATACGAAGCACACGATGAAGTGCGAAATGTTATGTGCTTGTATTCCAACTGCATCTTCAGACTGATCCTCCGACATTGACTGGAAGCGGTCATTGCAAAGGCTGGTTGCTCAATCATAATCGCAAAGATGAAAAACGCACAGGCGGACTGACTGAAAATATGGAGCGCAAGTCTATTTTAGTCTGAGTCGGTCAGCACATACACAGTAAATGCCAGTTAGATCAAAGCAAACTGCCATCAACGTGAGCAGGATTAGCGAGCAAGAGGTAAAAAGAGAGTACACTTGTCGTGAATGAGCGAGTGAACGCGTGAAATCAGTCTACACTTCACAAGGACGGCTACAACGTCCGAGTGGCGGATAAAGGAAATCCGATAAGTTTTCTGTGCACCTTGGAACGCATCGTGCGGAAAACACGAAAGTCTTGAACAGACCTCATTCAAACATCAAAGGGAAACGTCTTGATAATTTGAAAAATGCCAGGGGTGCAAAATAGGATTGGTGCTTGAGGAAATAGGCGTGTAACGGTACTTAGAAGTCAGAATTTGTCCACCGTACTGGAAAATGGCGCCAACTGCTCCTGCCGTTTTGCCCGCTGGTTCTTCGGAACGCCATGTGCCCCAATGAAGGATGAGGTCCACGCTGGTAGCATTCAGACACGACTTAGCACAGAGTCATGCAAAACCACGGCATAATCTAAGGTGCATGAGTGCCGAAGGATGACATACTCCCCGTTCCAATGAAGCGACTCGGTCTGTATCCCCATAACCGATCAAGGGCTATGTCCGTTGCTGAGATTTGCTCAATGAGACCTTGCTTTCCTCACCGAAGACCCTCAATTCACATAAAATGTTAATCTATAATAGCATCTATGTGTTGACACGCTCGCTCCCGGTAACCCTCGACACTTTCACATAGCAGCAAAGGGAGACCAAGTCAAATATAACGGGCAAAAATTGAAAAGTTTGCTGCGGTATATCATAAACCAGATGAATGCTTCCTTGTGGTACAACACCAAAAAGTGGTCGCAATTACACAACTAGTTTGTCACAGCAAAAACGAACTACTGATGAGAAACGAGTCTTTAGCAGTTCACACGAGAAACGTCTTTCGGAGCGCAGAAACAAGAAGGAGAGTATTTAACCAACATTTCAATGCCTCCTTCAATGTGGGTAATGAACCTCGAAGCTTACACACACCACCGACCATAGTGGATCAACGTTATCGTGTCTAGTTTAAGCTCAGTGACTTACACACAAACCTGCAAAATGCACAAAAACCATCTTATTCTGTGGACCAGTTAATTGAATAAGTTACGTTGGTTTTGGGCACCTGCTACGTATGCCCGATCACCGTTTACTTAGGAAAGCCATGTTGAATTTGTCAGGTGTAGGGTGGAGCAAGGCCCGAGGTGGACAGAATTTGACTTGGCAGCGGGAAATGAAGTCACTGACGACCAAACTCAGTGCTATCGATCCGTCTCGCCTTCCAGAGTCCACGTGAATTGCCTTGTGCTTGGCTCGAGACTTTACAGGACATGGCTCGCAACCGACACCAGTGGCGCGTCTTCTGCTGTATCCTAGTCGGACTGATGAGCAGTGAAAGCCGCAATGAAGCTGTCACACTGGTGTCGCCTTGTCTTCGCACGATAGCCAGTTGTTTGTGATGGTATCAAGGTGTAAACAACTTGACCGTGAATGTTTGCTTAGGGTATTAGGGTTTTCCTCAAAGTCCCCCTTCTCTCCCTTTTATTATTCCTTGTTGCGTAGGTCATTATGGTTGTGTGGCAGCGAAGCATCAGTACAAATGGCTGATGTACTGCTGTTGATGATGATGGACCAGTTAAGGTGCTGTCTGTAGTTGTCAAACTCGGGGTGAGTTGACATCCTCGCTACTGCTGAATAGGTTCAATCTGTCTATGAACTTTGATATCGTGCCAACCCAATGGATAAAAAGCATGGTTTTACCGCACAATAATTCATGCATGAATTCCATTAAAAATGATGGAAAGACATTGCAAATTTAAAACGGTCGAATTCCTGCCGTTTCAAAGAAAATAAGAGACTCACAAAACGGCTTTTGAGTGCTCAGTCCTGAATAAGATGTCAGATGGAATTTCCAAACCGTCAAATTGCCTCACATGGTAATGGCATGTGAACAACAGATGTTTACTTCAACACGCGAAAGGGCTTTGATCGAGTGGCTCGTAGGAACGCAATATCTGAAGTCCTACGCTATGGAAACGGATAACTATTGTTTTCATGGCTTAGGTCGTACCTTAGACTAGAACATCCAGCCCCGATAAAACTGGATATCCTCTCCGAGAAAATAGAAAGCGCTGCAGAACACAAATATCTAAAAGGTATTAGCCGCGCTGGATCGAGGAAGACGGTCCAGTTGATAACACCATTCGGGAATACCGTATCAAGCTGCTAAAATGGCTTAATAAGCCAGATAAAGACTATTAGAAGTTCCACCCAGCGTGGTTGATGAAAACATCAAACAGGTACAAACTTCAATCACTAATTCATCGTCCCACCATATATATATTGCGTCAAGAAGTGAACACAGTATCTGTACACTACAACATGACCAATCACAGAAAAAGCCAAGCGTTGGATCAAAATATATAAACGTCTATCTTTCTACCCATGATCCAACGCTGCGTGACTCGACCAGGTCCACAACCATAAATAGACGATAGCCAAAAGGATTCCGCGCCAACGTTGTAATCCGGAATTTACCGCTTCGAACCCGCATTGGTATAGGTGACCCGCAGTATACCCAGCCCCCGTGAGACTGGTGTTGGTCGCTTGGCAGCGAAACGTTGGTACGCGGTGTATTGTTGATGCTTATTGTGTCAACCATATCTATACTATCTCGTTTCAACTGGGTAAACCGAAGACGAACACGTATTTCCGAGTGACCTATCGAGAGTGGTAGGAACAGTATTCTTTCAGAGATGGATCAATGATCCACATATCGACCAAAATAAAACCTTTTTTTACAGAAATCCAGTGAAACAATCGTATTGGCCGATCGGAGGAATGTTCTCGAACCATCCAATACCAGTATTCATAAGTAAGGAACAGAACAGAGCACATACAAGAAGACTACCGGGAATAAATAACGCCAACGTGCGCAGCGCAGTTCTTTTGTAATTTGCGGCCACTAAACTGTTAACCTAAGCCTCACCTGTTTGATCAGCCAATTGGAGCGGTCGGGAGCACAATAACCAATCAGAGCGACACGGCGCGAACTTTGGAACCATAACAAACGATAGCAGTCGGATTTGATGTTACAGTTCAAGAAATGCTGTTTTACACTCCAGGTGACGGATGTAAGTAGCTTGCCTTGTGGTACATCTAACAAGGGGACCAGGCGCACAAACATCCCAAACGCGGTGACAGCATAAATGGTTGTAAAAAAAGTAATGGCGCTTTTTGGCCTATAAGTCAGGCAGGTTTGCGATTACAACTAGACCGTTCTGTGGAAAGATGGGCTCTTTAAAGAAAAGTGTGATTGATTGAGGTAAGAGAACAGAAAAGGCGCTTAGCGCATGTGAATGCAGAAGCAATCGCACACCCGGGTGCAAAAAGTGAGCAGGTTTGTTAGGTACAGTATCACATATATGCCATGACAATCAAAGGTGGAGGTGGAAAATGGAGTGACCGCCCTGAAGTGACTGCACGGAATGTACGAATTTGGGCAAGTGAGGATGTACGTGAGTGTGGATCAAAGCGCTCACACATTGATGGACACAGGCAGTGGCGGTAGGCCGATATTAGGCAAGGGAGTCGGGAGACAGGTGGCACATATCGATTCGAGTGATATGGAAAGGTAAAATTTAAACGGAGCAATGGGATTGCAGCAGAATGATAGATGCGTTAGGATAGAGTAGTAGATAAGATGTGAAACCGGATTCATGTGAGACTGGTTTATACCATACCGTCCAGCTGAAGCCGACTGTAATTGGCAAACAGCGGCAACTTATACGAGATAAGTTGTGTAAGTGTGCTTCTCTGAGAGGATTGGTGAGAACGACTATTCCGTAAGTTGAGCAGGCCAGTGACACATGTCCTAAATTTGTCTTGGACCATGTGGTGCTTCCAACGCAGTTACATGGTAAGGTATTGTCGTAACCAGGATCTATTGGCCAGGTGGGACCCAAGCGATTGACTGGTGATCCCAGGTATGTAATTCACCCCATCAAATCACGAGCAGCTAAACCTGCGATTCGCGCTGGTGTGAAAGAGGCGAGTGCGGTTCCACAATTCCCCCTTATAAGAAAGAATATCCCATTCCGTCTGAGTGAGGTCGACGATGACATCACGCTGTTACGATGACTCATTTTGGCAAAACGAACCGTGCGTTGCCACACAATCTGTCTTGGATATGGGTTCGGCTACCGGTAAACTCCATCACAGGTTCACCAACCGGTTTTTCCTGGTGATATCAAGTGTGAACGGAACGGACATTCAAGAGCCTGTTTTACCAATGGCGCTCAAAGTATAACAAAGAGAGCAAACATGAATTAGAGGTATCAGTGTAGTATGTAGCGGATTGGCACAAGATTGTCAAAGTGCGATATCACGCTGAGCATCATGAGTGCCTACGTCCTGAGTTGCTGGATCTCACACACCAAGGTAAAAAGACACATGCAGATTATCATCAAGGATGATAGTGGAACAGCTGCCGTGCCGGAATGAGACATGAGTATCAATTTCGCTACTCCATAGCCTGAGGGTATTGAATTCCGTTGAAGTAACTTCGCAACTATCCCAAACATAGATAACGTCCTAGGCCGTGTAAACCACAAAGACTAGCGAATGCACCAGCAGATCCGACAGGGGTTAACAACAGCCAAGTGTCCTGAACCTAATGGTGCGCCAGGTTCGACTAACTCCTCTGCACAAAGGAAAGTTTGTGTTCAGACAGTGCTCCGGAGTTGCAAACTAGCGTTACTCTCGTCATCCATCATTCTGGTCTAGTTGATAGAGATGTTTCACCTATCCTATCCATTGGGTCAACGGTGTCCATGAGACGAAAGCGTTTGTCATCTTAAAACCGATAGTAGGAAGAATTGGATTAAAAACGAAATGAAAGGAAAAGTATCTTACGTTATTTAACCGCGGCCATGTAATGTGTAACCCTAAGAAGCGCACAATACTTCCGTTGAGAAAATGACACCGTCGTTAAACACAAACATGACGGCACAAATTGACTCACCTCCGGAGTGATCGCATTTTTCTTACTGGGACGATTTAAATACAGCTTCAAGACTCCTCCTTGATCGAGCACTACTTCGAGGTCACCGCGGGATTCAGTAGATGGGCTAGTAGGAGCCGCGGCCTGTTCCTTGGAAACTAACTCGGAGACCAGCTCTACGTACTTGGATGCAGCCTCTTCCTGACCAATAATGGAACGGAACACATTACATCAGTACACAAAAATCAGGAGCGATAACTCCAACCAGTAAAAGAAGATATGAGTAGCCCGAGAAAATCAGCCGAATACAGTCATATAATTCGTGAGTACATTTTGTGGAGTGATTGAGGTGAACCATATGGGCAGATCGGGTGCCGGAGAAGTGAAAACGACAGTTGAAGCTCCTATTTTTCATCCATACATGTTTAACACAAGGTAAGGAGTAATAATAATAATAATAATAGTAATAATAATAATAATAATGTGTCAGCTGTACGCCGTAGCGGCGCTTCGCTGCCGCGCGACCACCACCAGTCGCGCGTGGGCTGAGTATACCGCGAGGACGCCCACCCCTACGCGGATTCGAACCGGTGACCTTATGGCTGCAAAGCAAACGTGCGGACCACTCGGCCACCGGCCGAGTAGAGAGGAAGCAACATGTGTTCGATCTCCCTTTGACCAAATCGTGGAAACAGGAAGAGAAAGTCTTCCAGTAACGGTGAGGAGGGGTCAGAGCAACCGAAGAAGCGCCCAAATTAGACCCTAGATGCTAGAAGCATTATAGAACAATTGCTTCAAAAGGATATATATTTTACATCTACGTCCCCTTCCGGAATACTGCTCAATGAGGTAAAGCAGTACGAAGAAACGAAAATGCATTGCATTATAATATGTGTAACGAACTTCCACAAGCCGCCTAGTAAGCACCATATGGAAATTGGGATATTTCGAAGGACGCGAGAAACTCAAACCTGCTACCCTCTGATTGGGGCGCATGAAGCACAACCGGAACATACTCTTTAATATACCGAACATAAAAATGCAGGTTTCCAACCTTAACAAGTAAGTAATACAGTCATCATCATACAACACACGAAATAAAAAATATTCCGTAGTAAAATTTACGTTGAATAATACCAGATCCGTAAATCCTTTCCCAACATATATGCCAGATTATGGAACAAATTACTATCTGAAATACTTACAATTTACAGCACGAATTTCTCAGGAAAACAATAACCAATACGTAACGGTACAAAACGTGATCAAGATATTGTGATATCACATAAGACATTCAAGCATAAGAACAAGGCCCGGGATTCATTTGATCCAGAAAACAGACCCCAACGGAGTGAATAAGGAAGAGGAGAAGCTTCTACACTAGCCGTCTTCATCTCTAGTCCTCCTCTTAGACGACTATGCCATCATGATCGTCATTAAACAGATGAGGTAAAAACAACTATTGTGCTGCAATACAAAAGAAAAGAAGACAAAACATGAAACAAAGGCACGCCAGCTGGGCCACCGGTGGTAACGGATGAACATCGTTCCGAAGAGCAACCAGCCGGCTATTACTCAGCAAAAAGGAGTTATACTGTGCCTAGGATATGAGTCCGTGATTGTTAGGGGAGAAACTCAAAAGATAAATGCCACTGTGGTCGGCTTCTTGTCATATCAATAAGTGTATGCGGACAAACGTGTTCATCTTCTTTAGGACTCCAACTATGGAGTCGGAAGGCTCCAACCGCGACCAACTTCCAACTAACAGACTTCATTCCTCTTGACCAAGTCATCGCTTGGCCTCCCCTCCTCTTTTTCCATCCACATCTCCGGTGCGAAAATAACACGTCGCGGGAGTCGGTGGGCTGGCAGGCGCGACACGCAGCCCAGCCACCAGAAACTGATGCGTGATATAACGGTGCTGAGCGGTTTACTCGCTCTTCCTGCACAAAATACACGACGCCGGACATGCTCATTGCACACGTCGTGTTCCCCCATAGTTAAGCCAAATTGTGAAGGCAGCGATAGTCGAACGTAACTATCCACTATATTTGTCGACTTGATGGACCAGGTTTTGCAACCACACATGAGAGTTGAATGTAAGGCTACATTGTACACTCTACTCCTCAGGGCGAAAGTGATATCATGCCGGCGCTATAGGTAACGAAGGTAAGCAAAAGCGCCTTGAGCTCTCGTTATACGGTTTGTCACTTCATCTTCGATTCCACAGGCGCTGATACAACTGCCCAGGTAGTTGGATTTTCCAACGACTTCCATCTAATCCCCACCAAGAGTGAGAGCAGGAGGCGGTACCTGTCAACCTTGGATTAAAGCTCCGCACCCAGAGGGTGCAATAATAATAATAATAATAGGAATAATAATAATGTCTCAACTGTACGCTGTAACGACGCTTCGCTGCAGCGCGACCGCCAACAGTCGCGCGCAGACTGTGTATACCATGAAGACGCCCACCTCTATGCGGATGCAAAACATAGCCCGAAACGGCTGACAACCAGTGCTAATCTGGATAGTACTGCTTGGCACGGTTGTGAGCTCTCACAGAGGTGGGCAATGTTGTCATAATATCCAAGTCCAGAAGTCGTTTGCCTGAGAGCAGCTCCACGCCTTATAAGTCATGTCCTGTGAACGCGATCACCATGACTCCATCAACGGCTAAGTTGAACAGAAAATGTGACAGCAAGCATCGTTGTCTTACACGGATAGAAATATCGAAAGGCGGCGACAGCTTGCTGTAAGCCCTAGTTCTGTCAGCGCTACATGCGAATAACGGTTGGATAACATTTACATACTTCCTGGGCACACCATTTCTGAGTAGATAGTCCCATACGGCACATCGATCAACAGAATGTAAGGCACATTTGATGTTGAGGAATGCGATAACGGTAGGCCGTCAATATTTTTGACAGAGCGCCAACAGGTGGCACAAGGTGAAGATGTGACCGATGCAGTCCTGACCTCGACGAAAGCCGGCTTGCTTTTCACAAATCTGGCCTTCACAAGCGCTAGTCAGTCAGTAAAGAATGACCGAGACAAACAATTGGGAGGCGGTGGAGATCAGACTGATAGATATACGATTTCCGCATTGCGAACGTGAGCGTCCCTTGAAAATTAGTATATAACGGAGCGGCCGCTTCTATCGCTGACGCAAGAGAAGAGCACTAGGATTCGCGGTCTCTCTTCAAGCTAGGCACGGAATTTCGCTCCGAGGTCATTGCGGGTCTCCTCGTGTTCGCCCCCAGCCGCAATGTGTCGGCGAGCATCGATAAGTTGCAGAGACTGTGAAGAGACCCAAAGTCCATACTGGCCATTAGATTTACCATGTGAGTATTTCCCTGCTGTTAGTAAGGTGTGGAGAACATGAAACCAGCGATCTTCAAGAGTATTCAGTGATCTCTTACCCAACCTGAATGCCAGCATTCTTCGATACGCATGCAGAACGTCAGACTTCGACAGTTGCCTGGTGGCTATGTACTCACAGCGTCGTCGAGGGCGTCCGCCAAAACGCACCTGCGGATCAGCACGTACAAGTACATGGTCAGTCTCACCACGTGTACTCCAAATCGAGCGATATTTTTGAACGCAGCCTCCCCAGCGGTAACTGATGGCAATGTGATCGATCTGCGTAAATAGCTAGTGGACGCCATGTCACCCTCCGAAGGGTGCTGTGTCGGAAATTAGTGCTCGCAAGAAATAAGCGAACATATTTACACAAATAAAGCAAGCGCTCAAAGTTATCATTACGGTAGCCTACACCATGTTGAGCGCCCAGATGTAGCTCATCAGCAGACAATGTTCCAACGCCAGCGTTCAGATTCCCAGCCGGTACTACAGTGTCCGTGTTTCCTCTATGACGAAGGAGCTCGTTAAGTTCGCGATAAAGTCGTCTTTTACCGAGTCATTGGTATAATTTGTGGGGGCGTATGCAGAGGTGACAAAAAGGCACCCATTAGCACCGTGCGATTGGGATCCAAGCAACCAGAGCAGCTTCAGCCCGCGGGTTCAGGGCAATGCAAACACGGGCTTGGTCGACATTCGAAGCGCAAAGAGAAGGCGCTGCTAATGTCAACTGAAGGGGATCGCAAAGCGAGCACAGAGCTCGAGTCTTGCAGGTGGGTTTCTGATAATTAGCAGGTATTGATCAACGGAGTCTCTAATGTTCGGGCAAGTGCTGCCTGTTGAGCGATCTGTAACAATGTGTGTACCTTGAGCCATGCCAATATGAGGATCGGGGGCTCGAAATTGAAGCCTAGGAACTAGGATTGACCGCTGCGTTTGTCATCGGCCTGTCGATAGGGCAGGAGTGACGCTCCGCATTTGCGTGAGTGGATACTGGAAGACTGACGCATATGAAAGCAATGGTGGAGGGCCAAGAAGTTTGGGGATAAAAGTGGTTGGAACGGAACGATAAGGATGAAAAAGCGCAAGAGAGGGATAAGAAGACGGGAAGGCATGAGCAGTAGCATTCATACCCCTACCCACCTTGATAGATGCAGCAGATAGGGCGCCACTGATTATCCTCTGCGACGACCAGAGCATCAGGAATTGGTTTGAAGGTAAGGATATGGTATTGTGCCGGCAAGAAACTGTCAGGTTGCCCAGGAATAGACAGAACGATTATGATCCACAACCAAAGACTTCAGTTCAAAAATATCAGGCCACAAGGCAGCGAGGTTGTGGCACTTGGCCAGAAAAAGTTCGTTTTAAGAAATAAGGAGCCATCTTCACTCTAGTTCCCATCTTGAAGCAACAGGAAACTGAGTTTGTATGGCCTCTAAGCATTGATCAACCTGGTATGAGTGACCCTGAAAGTGCAAAAAGTATCACCCATCATAGATCAATGGATCGCCGAAGCACGCAAAGCATCGCACTAAGGCAAGGTTCAGCCACAGTGCGATGGAGTCGGTTATACCAATCCCAAGACTGCCAACAACAATACCCCTGTACAGTTTACGTGTACATCTGCGATGTTCTAAATATAGATATCAGTCTATGCTTACATTTTTACATTCGTCCCAGTAGCTCATAGCTACGTAGCACAGCTCCCATCCGGAAAAACACCAGACGCACCTTTCCTTTTTGCAGGCGCCACTCTTGCTCCAGTCTCATGTGAGTACCCCAACCAACATTCAATCTTCCTGAGTAGCCTTGAACGTGCAGCGCGCCAAAAGATATTTTTTACG